CCCCCCGTTGCACTTGTTTGGGGTATTATTTATATGTTAGACATGTTGTAAAGGACAACAAGAAGGGAAATGTAATTAACTCATCATATGAACCTTCCGCAGTCTTTTCTGATCATTATTGGTGGAGTCCTCCTTTAAGCCTGTGATCTCCCTCCTTACACACATCAATGTACACTGCCGGTTGGTTACGATGTCAAAATGTTTTGAAAATGCTGGAAAATCAGGAAAAGCTTCCCGTTCTCCTATCATAGGGGCCCATTCACACCAGAGCGCTGCACAAAATGTGTGGGATCCGCCATCACACAGCACATGGTAGGTGCGCCGCACTGCCATTGCTTCTCTATAGCACCCCAACGCACCTTTTTGAAAGCTTTCCAGTGCCACCCATAAGCGTGCATTGCCATGTGGTGAGAAGTAGTCAGACTAAGAATGCACCGATAACGAGTACCAATACCAGTGCTTCCGCTGGCATGGAACCAGCTTCCCAGGCACTCAGGAAGCCGGGTGGGGGTTAATGACATGCCGCCCGGCTTCCTGATTGCCCAGGAAGATGGCTCCATGTTGTATAGCCAGCTTCATTGTGATTGGCTGGGAAACCGGCTTCCCAGCAAATCAGCATCGAGCCAGGAAACAGGAAGCCAGGCGGTGAGTAATGACCTGCCTCCCGGCTTCTTGATTGGCCAAGAAGCCGGCAACATGCTGATTGGCTGGAAAGCCTGCTTCCTGGCCAATCAGCAAATCTTCTTCTGACCAGAAGTTCCGCTATCGGAGCATTTGGGCAAGTAGGAGTATTCGCCACATATCTTACCAACACATGGCAACACGCTTCACTGCGGGACTACACATTAGAGGGTGGCGTATCAAAACTGGAGCAGTTGCCCACAGCAACCAATCAGCTTCTCTGTTTCATTTGGAAAGCGTAACTGAACAAACGGAAGAGAGAGGCTGATTGGTTGCCCTGGGTAACCGCTCCAGTTTTGATGAACTTCCCCCACTATGTGGTGCGACGACACATGCACGCCGGTTGAGAATCAATAGCAACGCACCAGTGCGCCCAACGTGCAGATCTTGCGTGAGACTATGGCGTGAATGGGCCTCAAGGCAGCGCGCGTCTGTCAGCAACATGCCTTGCTGACAACGTACGTTGTGGGGTGCTGCTTAAAAAGGTGGAGGGCCGTTGCCCCATTTGTTTTGATGTAGTGCACCCACATTAAAGCAACGCAGCCCAGCAGCACAGTGTCAACGAGCCCCCAGGGTGCCTATGAACATAGCATGTGCACAGATCAGCATGCACAACCCTGGAGAAACAGCAGCAGTCAGGGAAGTGTAGTGGTCCTGGCCTGTACTACCAGATCCAACCAAAATCGGTCAGACATCATCTCAGGTCTATGGGGGCCTCAATCATGACCAAGGGCAGCTGACCTCCAGTGATTGTGTCTCCCCCCCAGGTGACAGCCCCGCCCCCTCCGCCAGCACGGTCCCGCCCCCTCTTTTCCTCCTCCCACCTCAGGGTTACCTTGATGCACCGCCACATTGCAGCCATGCCCGTCGCAGTAGACCAGCGGGTTTTCGGCCCAGCCCCTCTCGTCAGAGCACACGCAGCAGCCTCCGATCATCTCCTTCATACTAGTCGTCCGCTTCTCGTCTTCTGTCAGTCCTCCGGACACCATCTACGGGACATCGAGCACAAACACACGCACCGGTTACTCGCCTGCCGCACCCGAGGCTCGGCCCCCCCGCGCCGCCGGCCCAGCTTGCCCACCCGCATTACGGGCACCCGAGCCGCCTCATGTCGCCGGGGCTCTGCCCGGACAGGCAGCCAGGGCAGGATCACAACGAGGAAGAAAAAAAAAAGTCAGCGAGGGCGCATGCGCGCCGATGTCAACAGCGTCAGGCGCTGCCCACAGCGCCCCCGGCGGCCACCTCTCTACCACTGCAGGCCAGCTCGTGTTGTGTACACGCAGGACAAGTGGGGAGAGAGCGTCTTTGAAGTGGGCGTGATCAGTGAAAGGGTTAGGAGCGGGCTTTGAGTGACGGCTGGTTTGTTGTTTTCCCGCCCTCCTCCCTCTCCTGAGTGTGGCTAGGGGCCGCGCGAGACACGCACGGTACACGTGCTGTGCGTGAGGAAACAGGGCCACAGACAGCCAGTGAAGGCCACGGGGGGGATAATAGTTACTGCAAGGGAATAAAAGACTTTTAAGGCGGACACTGTGCGGCAAGAGTGCTAACGATAACATTTCCTGGCTTTAGCAACCTACTAGGTTGGAGCGTTTGTGCAGGACAGAACCGGAAATAAAACTTCTAACTGGTTGCCTGGATACCCCAAATCTATATTTCTGAACCTCCATAGTCTTTAAAAGTACTTTGGTGAAGATTCTAGGCCAAACTAGCTGATTTGGATAAATTCTCCAATTCAGCTCACTTTCGGGTTCAGCTATTTTGGCCTAGAGTGTTTACTTCTGCAAACACTATACCCTTCTGTGAATAACCCTGATAGTCTGATTATTGCATTGGCGCCCGCAGAGCATTGCAACTGCGATCAGCGGGTCATAGGTGCAATGCTCTGGTCTTGCAGACGCTTGCTACAGCCTCAGGTCTGTATTGAGATGCGGGCCTATCCTGGTGCGGCTGGATGAAGCAATGTATGGACTACGAATGGGGTGACGCCACCTCACTTGTGCTTTTTGGGATCTAGGAGGCCCTCTGTCGTGGTGTTCTATCAAAGATTGTGACTGGGTTGAAATGTGAGACCGGTCACGTGGTCACACATTTTAGCGTAATCACGGCAACTTTTTCGGCGGTGGAATGTGTGACCGGCAAAAGGTGAAGAATTCCAACGCTTTCTCAGCTGTTCCGGGGCACATCGGCATAGCATGTGCAGGAGAACCGATCTGCCCTGAACAGCTGATCGGTCCTGAAATGTCACTTCTACCCGACGTTGTGAGATTGCACTCACATTTCAGGACCGATCAGCTGTTCCAGGTGACCACGTGACCGATCTCGCATTCCATCCCAGTCACAATCTTTGATGGAACACCACGACAGAGGGCCTCCTAGATCCCAAGAAGCACAAGTGAGGTGATGTCACCCCATTCGTAGTCCATACGACTGGACGGGATAACGTTGAAATGTGTGACCATGTCACCGGTCACACATTCTAACGCAGTCACAAACTTTGATAGAACAGTGGCAGATGGGACTTGCAGGCTTCCATTCACAGATCCTGTTAATGGATCATGATGAATTCAAATATATACAGAGTGCTGCGGAGAGAAGAACCCCACTATTCAGAAAGGTTGGGGGGTGGAATTTTAGGGTGTGGAGTGGGACCTTGTTATACCCTAAATATGGTCAGAATGGTTGACTGTTCTTTGAAAACATAGATTACTCAGCTACACCTTGATTAGGGAAGAGCTCGGGTTAAGTCTAGCCCTGAGCTTCTCCAAACAGGAAGTCATATGGGCAATTCCACCAATCAGCTGTTGGCAGGGCATTCCCCAGTTGAATGTAAACAAAGGGGCTGGATGCTTGTGCTGACATCATTTACCTGTCTATGGCCACATAGACATATTAGGTAAATGTCAATGACCAAATATAGGCATGTAGTCATCTAAGGTTGATGGCATCACTGCGTCCCCCTTGCAGCTGATTGGTCAGCACAGGAGGATCTTCCTTCCATGTTCTGGAGGAGCTCAGGGTTCAGTCCCAACCTGGGCTCATCCCTGACCATGATATGATTACATCTCCAGTATCCTTCAGGGCTTGTTCACGCCAGTAGACACGCTCAACTGCATAGCGGCTGGTGTGCGTGAGCCTGGTACAATGCTAATACACTCCATCAAGATGCATTGCACTGCTTTCTTTTTTTTCTTTCTTTCTTAGAACTTTATTGAAATGTCACAAGTGACATTTCATTCAGTTCTATGAGCACACCATGATACAAGGCGTTTGTAGAGCGTCTCACTGCGCTACATTTTTTGAAAAAAAGGTATTGCATGTGTAATTGATTTTTAAGCGCACACCATTGCAACGCAGTGGTGCGAATTGTGGCCACCCATAGGGCAAATTTTATTGTCTTGCATTGGGGCTGCGCTGAAAAAAAAAAAGGCCAGTGCAGCACCAACGCATCCGGTGTGAATTCACACTGATCCTAAACAAGGGATCTTTCTAAATGTTTTTTATTGGCAGTTTTGGGTCAGTTTTGACTCATTTTTAGGGATGCACCGATATATATCGGCCGCAGAAACGTATCGGCCGAAAATTGCACTTTTGGCAAAATGCCGAAAGTGCCATTTTCTGGCCAATATAGCGGTGCATCCGTTCTTTCTCTCCTCCCCGCTGGGCGCTGCTCTGTGTCCCAGCGGGGAGGAGAGAAACTATCACAGGAGGCCCAAGCTCTGCAGGAGGAGAGCGCTGCGAGCGGCCGGTGTCTCTCCTCCCCGCTCAGCCTCCTGTCACAGATCAGAGGAGAGCAGTGTGGGCGGAGACAGCCAGCGCTGTCACAGGAGGCGGAGCTCTCCTCCCTATACCACTCGCTCAGCCTCCTGTGACAGCCAGACCAGGATGGAGAGCGGTGTGTGGGTCGGAGATTGCTGTCACTGGAGGCTGGGTGTGGTGGTGCGGGAGGAGAGCTCGGCTTCCTGTGACAGCTTGTCAGGATGGAGAGCAGGTACAAGCAGTCATTGATCGCTGAATGTTTGTTCATAATTGAGGACAGAGTATGGTTACTATATCCTCAATTATGAATAAATGGGAAGTGATCTACATCACCTCCTGATCATTCATGATTGTGGTTATAGTAAACATACTCTGTCCTCATGTTATGAATGAACAGGAACACTCAGTATAGAGGATTACTGTTCATTTATAACAGGGACTGCAGGAAAAGAGATTGAGGACTCTGTGTCCTCAATCTCTTTTTCTATTTTAAAAGGGAAATAGGACTCTGTTTAGACCCCTAATATTTCCCTGAGGCCCCTAAAAGTAAAGTAAAAAATATTTAATAAAAATGAATAAATAAAAAGTTTATAAAAAAATATATATATATATCTGAAAAAGAATAAAAGCCATTTTCGGTTTCGGCATGACATTTTTTTTTATTTCGGTTTGGAAATTTTCATTTCCAAACACCTCTAGTAATTTTGTCGTAGCACTTTTTTTTTAAATCGTCATATAAAAGGAAAGACAATTTCCATTGAGGGTTGCATGTGCATTTGCAGAGCTTTATGACTTCCTAGGGCAAGAGTAGGCAACTTCCGCACTCCATCTGTTGTGGAACTACAGGTCCCATCAGGCGTTGCAAGACTATAACAGCCACAGACATGACTCCCAGAGGTAGAGGCATGATGAGATTTGTAGTTTCACCAGAGCTGGAGGGCTAAGGTTGCCAACCAAAGCCCTGGGCAATGGTTTCAAGTTCTTCTGTATTTTGGGGAAGGAATTTGTTTTTCTTTGCACCTGATTTGCAAAGTAAATGTTTACATCGGTTCACCTCATTCACTTTGCAAAATGAACATGCTCTACTCCAGGGGTAGGCAACCTTGGCACTCCAGCTGTGGTGAAACTAAAAATCCCATCATGCCTCTGGGAGTCATTGCTGGGACTGTCAGTCTTGCAATGCCTCATGGGACGAGTAGTTTCAAACAGCTGGAGTCCTGAGGTTGCCTACCCCTGCTCTGCTCCTTCAGTGAGTGTCCATTCTCACCAGCCATTACGCGTTTTGCTCTGTATAATGTTTCTACGTTGTGTCAGGGGGCGTGATGCGTTGTTACATCGCGCTGTTTACTTTTAACTTTATTAAAATGTCCCTAAGTGACAGTTTGTGCCGGGCTCTGTGGTGAGTTGTAACGCATTGTTGTGCCGCAGTGATATGCAAACGTGCTGCATCCTTCCTATAATGCGCACCAAAGCACCAATATAGTGTGAACAGGGCACATAGAGAGCTAGCACCAACATGCGTTACCACAACAGAAAAGTGGCCCTGAGAGTATGGACTATCCTATACAAGAATATGTTAAAGCAGAACAGATAAATTCCCCCCCCCCCCCC